AAGCCAACATTAAAGTGGCAACAAACACGTCCAAGCTGGTTTAAACGTAGACTCCGTGAGGTAGAACTACATTTGTAGCTGGTATATAAAGCAGCCATGAGGCTACTTTTCCATGAACCCTATCACTGCCAGATCACCTCAATTCTTTGTTCTCTACACTGGCCTACTTAATGGCTTAACTGGATGGACTTTTGTATTTTTTCAGCCAGACTATGTAACTATTTTTAAAGCCCTAAATAACCCCTGCCTATGTGACTGAACTTTTGGTTTCCCATACTCCCACACACTCCCTCAATTCCACTTATCGATATCTTTTGGATATTGTGCATTCTATCTTGCATCACCCACAATATGGGACCCAGTGCCAGGACAAGATCATCTAGAACCCAGGATGAACATAGCAAACTGTGCCCCCCCCCCCCCAAGATGTATGCGCTTAATGTGTCAACAAAAAAAATTGACCTGCATGCTTACCCCTAAGCAAAATTCCCCCTCCTCCCAGTACAAATCCACAGCACATATCTTTGCCACCCCATCCCCCCTCACAGTTCAAATCCTCTCTCTCCTCAAAAAAAAATCACTCCTAGCAAAATATCCTCTACCATGCAAATGTCCTCACATCCACCCTCCTAGAACAAATAATTTTCCCTCATCCCCCTCCCAACACAAATCAACCCAAATCACCACTCCTAGAACAATTCTTGCCCCTTGAAACCCACCATATTCCCTCCCCCAGCACAACTATTATTATTGGTAGTAGTAATTACTTATTTCAGAACATGCAAGGCTTTCTGATTCTCATATTTTAAAAAAAATATATATTTTCTACACATCTAAATATACACGACAAAATGAGTTTTTTTTTTTTATTCTTTTTAGCTTGATTTGTGATAACTTTAAATAACACTAAAATTAGGTTATTGTAACAAAGTTTAGGGAAGTTATTTACAAATGACATGCAGGGATGTCTTAAACCTGGTGTGCTCCATACGTGCAGAAAAACTGATGGAAACTGACCAGCATATTTCGCTTGCAGAGACATCAGTTTCCATCCGTTTTCATGCACACTTCAATGAGTTTTATACATGTTGCAGATTCCTGCACAGAAAAAATCTGCCTGTGATACCAGTGTTGTGGTGTGAACATAGCACATAGAGAACGATTGATTTTGTTTTGCCATGTCAGAATGCATGCAGAAAAACTCTGCACCATGTTGTGAACAATCCTTAAAAATTGTATTTTTTATTTAATGCAATGCAACAGAAATAAATGAAAAAAAGAACCAAAAAACTCCAAAAGTATTTTAGAGGGTATGAAGCAGACTTTATAGGCACCACAGGAGACCACACATAAAATTGTAATAAAAATTGTATGTATTTTATTCAAACATTATAATATAATTAGGCACATATCAGACATATATGCCTGAATTAAAATATAAATAAAGTAAATATGGGGGGATACTCACAAAACAGTTCTAACCACCTCATGTACATATAATTAGTGTAAACATCTATAACATGTTCATATTTTATCCATCTTCAACGGTCAATGTGTTTCACATTTAGCTTCTTCAGGACTGTATATTTGAGGAGACAGAAAAATAGTACTGTAGAAAACATAATACACTAATTTTCAATCCATAAATTATATTTCTACATGTAATAGAAAACCAATGAAGAAGGTCCACATAGATGGGGCAAATTGCTGAAGGATCCAGATAAAGTCTTACAGGCGAACATCGTGAAACCACAGGAGACTCCCAAGCTCATCAACACCACTATAGAGATATAAATGCTAGGGCAGCACAGTGGCTAAATGGTTAGCACTTCCACCTGGCAGTACTCGGGTTGTTGGTTCGAATTCCAACAACGGCACCACCTGCCTGGAGTTTGCATATTCTCCCTGTGCCTGTGTGGGTTTCCTCCAGGTACTCTGGTTTCCTCCCACACTCCAAAGAAGTGTGGTAGGTTAATTGGCTCCTGTCTAAATTGGCCCTAGTATGTGTATGTATGAATGTGAGTTAGGGACTTTAGATTGTATGCCCCTTGAGGGTTAGGGACTGATGTGAATGTACCATATATATGTAAAGCACTGCGTAAAATGACGGCGCTATAGAAGTTCCTGTAATAAATAAACCAAAAGGTGCTATACATTGCACTACCCAGCACAAATCACTGTTCTATTCCACAAAACACTTACTCTCTGCACCATGGTGTGAACAAGCCCTTAAAATTGTGTGTATTTTTTATTTAATGCAATGCAAAAGAAACAAATGAAAAAAAAGAAACATATTTTTACATTTTTATTTTTAAAACCCCACAAAATCAGCTTTATTTTCCTGTATTACCAAGCCTGAAAAATATGCACAAACATACAGATTGTCCCAGGACAAATCAGTGCAGTTCTTTGACAACAAATGTGGCTGTAATACAAATTTCTCATCAAAATTCACTGTGCCCTCAAAAAAGTATTAATAATTCCATACAAAAGAAAGTATCCACTGCTGCTACGTAATGAAAAAACATACAGTATATCAAAAATGTGAACCAACAACCACCAATAAGATTCAAAGTAAAAAAAAAAAACCCAAGAAAAAAAAAAAGCTATAGAAGTCCTTAAGATGTGATTTGAGATACTATACCATTGGAGGTGTCTTTTTCCTACATGTTTTAATGACTTGAGAACTTGAGGAAAGAGTCGGAGGCTAAGAGTAAATTCCTGAGGTGGAATCTAATCACCATTGCTTTGCGCTATTGCCAGCCATAAGACTGAGTGGCAATTAGGTCCGATGAGTGATACTCTGGTGGTGGATTCACACATATTATCTTCATTGGAATGAGATGAAGCACTTTTCTGGCACTTTATGGACTTTAAGGACTTATTTAGTTTAGGTTTTTTTTTTTTTTTAATTGTGAATCTTTCTTATTTTTACATTTGCACTATTGTGGGATGCTATTGGTTGTTAAACACTGATTTTTCACCTTTTTGATATATGTAATCTAAATTTGTCTGCCAATCATTCTTGCAATCAATAGATATTGATTTACAGCAGATGTGTTCAACCAATACACAAAATAATTACTGCCAAATTCATTTTAAAGCCGTCAAATATAGCATAGTATTTCATGATTTTTCAAACAATATTTAAAAGTACAATGGTTGCAATTTCTGAAGAACAAAAAACTTGTTACACGGATTATAGGATCTCTGTGTGCTGGAGGATGATGTAAGTGAGACAATGAATGAAAAGCCAAGACATCGCAATAATAATTTTATGGTAATAATACGCTAAAACATGTTTGGAAAATTATATGATGAACAATACGTTGATGGTTTAATTGAATTAAAAGTGAGTTAGATGAATCTGCCAGAACAGGCCTTGCACGTATACATTAATGGGTACATAAAAACCCAAAAGTCTGTTCTTGATCACCAGACATCCTGCTTATTCAGCCAATATTTACAATAAGACCAATAAAATTAACTAAATTACTGAAGTAATAGTGATCATATAAAACTGAAATCCTAACTGTGAAATTACTTTATAGGAGATTCTATAATATATTTACACATAATCAGGTTATATTTTTATTACAATCAGGTGTAAATAAAATCCAAAAGAAAAAAAAAAATAACAGCAATTCTAAACATAATTCCAAACAGATCAGCATAACTAAGTGTATATATGTAGTAAAATTCTTGTGTGTTGGACATGAAACTTGACCCCATCCAGAGAGATGTGTAGAATATTGGCAGGATGAGAGAGGTTGAATAAATCCAGTAAGAAATGTATTGTTTATAACAGGGAATCAACAATAAAAATTCTCTTCCAACATTCTACAGACTATTCCAGGGAAACTCTGGAATACTCTGCTTGACAGAGAGCTGCCTGTAAAAAAAATAATTTTGACTTTCTGGTAAAATCCATTTCTTCGAGTACAGGGCACTATAATCACTATGCCTAGTTTATATACAGATACCTTCAGGTCAAAATTAGCATCAGGTTAGGTCTGAACATCGATCTAGTAGAACGTAACAAATGTTTGAACAGAATTCCAGGTGGCAGAATGGCAAATCTGAAAACCAGATGCCAATGATAAGCCCATGGAGCACTAACAGATCTAGTAGAATGTGTCTCAGCAGGGAAGGTAGAAATCCTCTTCCTCAGACTATAAACCCTAATGATAATCTGTTAGATTTCTCTAGCATTAGTAGAACCAGAGACAGGGAGAGTCTTCAGAAAGCACAAAGAGGGAATCTGCTTTTCTAAATGTAGCAGTAACTGAGAGATAAAGAGGTTAATTTACTAAAAGCAAATAGGCTGTTCACTTTGCAACAGAAATTGCTCTGGGGAAAATTATATTGCAAAGAGCAACTTACATTGCAAAGTTAACAGCCTATTTGCCTTTAGCTAAACAACCCCAAACTTTCACAGCGTGCACCACATTCTGACAGTGGAGAGAACATTCCTTAGGATGTTTCAGAGCAGAACAAAAATACGAAATAATATCTTGATTAGGGTGGAAGGCCCACGATCACATTTGTGGAGAAGGAGGCATTAGGTTGCTTATTTAGATTCCCTCCTCGCAGAGGTGATACCAACAAGAAAGACCACTTTACAGGCAAGGCCAGGTAAGAAAATATCCCTAATTGCTGCAAAGCCAACTGAACTAAATTGAGGTCCTAAGGGGATACAGGAGATTATACTGGGGGGAAGCTGAGGAATTGAGGCACCCTCTAAACAGAACCTTAACTAGGTAGTGAGAGGCCTAAGGTCTCCAAAACAGAATGGCTGAGACTGAGATTTGTCCTGTAACCACCTCCCGCCCACCATATAGTAAAATAACGGACGCAAGGTGGTTCTCTTGTTCTGGGAGGACGTCATATGACTTCCTCCCATTCTAACCTCCCAGAGCACAGCGCGGCAATCGGGGGTGCGCTGTGTCCCTTGGACACAGCGGATCACCGATCCATGGAAAGAGCTGAAGATGTCAGCTCAGTCATGTGATCAGCTGTGTTCAATCACAGCTGATCACATGTAAACAGGGAAATGCCGGTTATCTGCAGTTCTCTCCTCCTGGAGAGCCGGTAATTGGCATTCCATGGAGGGACATGTACACTGATCATCAAAGCACTGATGATCAGTGTGCCCTGATCAGTGTAGCCCCAGCAGTGCCAGCTATCAGTGCCACGTGCCAGTGCCTACCAGTGCACATCAATGCCACATATCAGTGCCCATCTGAGCTGCCTTTCAGTATCAGCCATCAGTGCTGCCAGTCAGTGCCGCCTTTCAGTGCCCATCAGTGATGCCTGTCAATACCCATCAGTGACACCTACCTGTGCCTCCTCATCAGTGCCACCTATCAGTGCCCATCACTGCAGCCTCATTAGCGCACATCAGTGAAGGAGAAAAATCACTTATTTACAAAATTGTATAACAAAAACAAACTTTTTTTTTCAAAATTTTCAGTGGTTTTTGGTTTAGGAAAAAATAAAAAACCCAGAGTTGATTACATACCACCAAAATAAAGCTCTGTCATAAAAAAATGATAAAATTTGATATGGGTACAGTGTTGCATGACAGCACAATTGTCATTCAAAGTGCAACAGCGCTGAAAGCTGGAAATTGGCCTGGGCAGGAAGGGGGTATAAGTGCCCTGTAGGCTTGTGGTTAATGGTACTCAAAACCAGGTGTTGGTCCAGATTGGACTCGAGGAAAGACAGAATATGTCCCACTGAGTACTTCTTAAGAAGAAAGTTCCTTGACTTGCACCCAACAAAATAAACCTTTCAGATGCGAAGGTAGACTTTCATAGCCTTCATGAGCATAAGGATGACTGGATCTAAAAGTCCCCTATCCCTTCAAACTGTAGCTTCAACATCATGCCATTAAAGCCAGCAACTGAGAAGAAGGCCCTCAGAACAGAACGTCTGGACAATCTGGAAGGGCCCATGAATCACCTGTCTGGAGTCTGAGTATGTCTAAGTACCACCTCCTCCTGGGCCAATTTAATGTGATGAGCATCACTGGAATGACCTCCATCTTGATCCTGTGGAGCAAAATATGGAGAATCTGGAAGGGCAGAAATGCATAGATCAGGTTACTCTATGGTATCCAATATATAGGGTTCCTTAAATTCTGTTTCAACCATTAGTATCCTATTAAAGAACATTTTCTTTCATTAGTGGACACTTACCAAAATACAAAAATTCACAATAACATATAACCCTCCCCCCCAAATGTCAAAACCATATTCCTTCATAATAGGAATATACATAAAACAAGACAACTTTGTCTTGTTATATAGTTATTCCTCTGGTGAAGGGATGTGGCTTTGACATTTGGGGGGAGGGTTATATGTTGAACTAAATAAATGCGAAAAAAAAACCCTGCGCTAAATAAAGTGAACAAACAAAATTATGTGAAAAATATTTAACAATGAAGGCTGCTGATAGCATTAAAATTGTGTTCCCACAACCAAACCATAAATCATAAATAAGACACAATGCCGCACTGCAAATTAAATAAAAATAAAATTTAACTGAATTAAAACATAACTGAAACAAAGTGTCCATGAAAATGAGTCCATAAATGTAAAATCAACAATAATGATTCAGTGGTATAACTTTTCAGATTAATATGCTTCTACTCGTGCTGATACCCCAACACCATCAGATGAAGTGCTATAGATCATACAGGCAGTGTCACCTCAGTGCTCACAGAACTCTCACCTTGGAGCAATAGAAATATGCGTTGTGTCATGCCCCTGTGACTTCATTAAAGGGATCCCTCTGATGAAGTCACCTGGGTGTGATGCATTGTGTAAGGGGCGCGGCTTTGGACAGATGCAAATCACGATTATAGCTGCAAGGAAGTGCAGCTTGGAGATGGTGATTTTTATCTATTTACATGGCGTTTTATTAATTGATCTGATGCCTGAGAAGATGAGGGATGCTCTTCAACTGTTATCTCCAACTCAGGCACTAGGGCTAAAAGATGAATTTTAAGACAAATTCAGGAGGGGAGGTCAAAGGGGCACAGCTGTGTTCCCTGCTATCACTGACCTCAAAGATAAAAATTCTGCCCATGAAATCTGACATTGTGGCTGAAAATTCTTCTCTGTACAAGAAAGAGGTTTGGCTGATGGGCCAGCTGAGTAGAGAGAGGGAGGCTGGTGGTCAGAGTGAGTGCAACCATCAGAAGAAAGGATACTAAAGTCCTGAGTCCTTGACTACCACCCCTAATGGAGCTAAAAGCTGAGCCGGAATATCCTTTCATCCTGAGGACGATCTCCACTCTAGGTCCCTCAGCCTTAACTCTTACTGCACTAAAACCTTTTAAAAGGTACTCAGTGGTATAAACAAAGAGGTTTTTCCTAGTATTTTAAACTGAATTGCTTTACTCAGAGTAAGGAGACAAGTTCACACCTAGCGCTGTGCCTCGGCCCTGAAAAGCATTCTATTGCTGATGCAATATACTAATGTCTGGAAAGTGCCACAATGCTGAGCCCAGTGCCCTAGGTCATATTCCCAGCTAGCCTTGCACATCCGATCCAGCTGGGTATGACCTCCAAAAGGTAAGCTGAGAAAAAACAGATCCAGATAGCTGCTACAAAGAGACCAACTCAAGCAGTGGATGGTGAGGAATCCTGAAATCACGTAAGAAAAATCCAGAAAGAAAAAAAAGCAAGCAAAATAACTTCTCAGCAGAGCTGAGTCTTAGGACACTAGCAAAAAACAAGGCATGGTGGGTAGAGCTAAACAGGAGCTGGCTTACAATATTTATATTTGTCAGTGTTCAAAACTCCTGTAGGTGACAGTAAAACCCTATATAATATCCCAATGTCTGAATGGATGAGGAAGTGTTTGGTTTGTGTTTTTTTAGTTTTAGTTTTGTTACCCTTTTGTCTGTAGTTTGCGTAAAAAACAAAAAAAATTTTTTGCAAGAAAATAACAAAAGAAGGCGTATGTCCTGAAAATAATATATGTATTTTTTTCCTAAGATATTTTTATAGGTGTAGCATTATCCTCTTGAGGGCTGCTGAGTATTTGTGGGTTCCCGGTCTGTCCTGAGCCTGCTTTAGAAGTACAGCCCCTGCTGTCCCCACTGTGAATCTTTGACCTTGAGGAATCCCTGGCTTTGAACCATAAAGTAAACACACAGTTTAAAGTTTAAATGTAAACAGAAAAAATGCAGTGCTAATTAAAAAACATACAAATGTCAGAAATAAAAGTCCATATAAGTCCTCAAATGAATGAAACAAATTGCAAGAGAAGATTCTGATGTCATGAGCCGTCACCATACACCCAAAAAAATTAGCCCGTTACCGGGCACTTTGACCAATAAGCGCAGTGTAATAAGGAATCAGTATTTCAGGTAATCTTCAATAGAAATCCTCTCCCAGATATAAGGTGGTTCCTCCACTTGAAGAAACTCCCATCTGATATTCAAATGAAGAAAAAAAAAGCAACTCATGGTGCAGTAATTCATTAAAGTTTTGGCAGATTTATTACAAGATCCACGTACATCAAGAATTAAAATAACCACCATTGAATTGAAATTGTTTCAAACCAAAAACATGTCCGCCGTCCCTCCAGAATGTGGTGACATCACACGCCAAGGCTCCACCCAACGCGTTTCATCAGAAAGACATCGTCAGGGGTGTCAGATTAAAGTGAGCAAATATTCTAGCTACAGCATTAGATCCAACTGCCTGTAGAACTGACTCTCCTGCTTGTCAGAAATACCAACAGTCTGCAGACCTTTCCTCCTCCACTCAAAGGCCCAATCTAGCGCGGATCTCCAGGGTCCCACACAAATTTCTCCACACACACTCACCCGTCCTCCGCTTCTCACCATCTACTTACTGTAAAGTTCCTGGGCTTCTCATATCTGTTCCCACCACTTTGCTAGCTCTTCTGGGAAATGTAGTCTGTTCACTCCTTCTCTGAGCACAGAAGTCCTGCTACCAGCATACAAGTTCAACAAGGCTTTTCTTCAATAAAGTCTGCATAACTGAACCGCAGAACACTGCCATCTAGTGTTTAATTTACATCCTGCAACCAGTATTAATGTGGCACTTCTACAATATCAAACGCAGTGCTGCAGCAACAGCTATATATTGATAAGCAATTATATTTGCCTTAAAGAATCAAATCAGGTAAGAATATAACACAGTGATCAAGAGACACAAAAAGAATATGTATCAATGACAGGCTCAAGAGCGCACTAATGCCCATTTATATGGGATCTACAGGCTTGGGAAACAGAAGGCCAGGTCAAACGTCACCATAAGGTAGCAAAAAATTAAATGTCGTTCAATGCGGGGGGAACCTTTGCACGGGGTAGAATATAAATTTGCATAAAGCCACCTTTTCCAATCATGTATTTAAAGATAGGGGGATCTAATGAAGAGATGAGTTGGAAACAGTAAAGAAGGGACGCAAAAAAGACAAGTGGGGGGGGGGAGTAGCATATCCGATGGAAGGGTCTATCTGTTCTCAGGCGATCACCTGAAGAAAAGGCAAGATTTAAGGAGAATCAGCAAAGTCAGTCCATTAAAACCACAAGTCTCGAAATTTGCAATGGCCATTAATTCTTCAATTTGCATAATGGAGTTTACTTGAGTAACCCACTCTCGAATTGTTGGTATCATGGAGGATTTCCAATGCCTGGGGATCAGGGCAGGACCTGCCATACGCAGGAATCGAAACAGACTTTTTAATATTTTTAATCGTACCAGTTCTCATTGAAAGGAGGGCAACCTCTGGCATCACTGGAAAATAAGATATTAATTCAATAAGAATTGAGAAAGTTGCTTCTGAACAAACTGGCCCAAAGCAGAAATGAAAAAGGACTCTGGTCCATAAAAGGGATATGGGTGGTTTGGCTCACAGGAAAGTGACACTGCATTTTTGGCAAGATCAGCAGGTATTTTCTATACTTGCTGAAAATGTTCTTAGCCTTAAAAGTAAAAAGAAATGCAGCCACCACAGCTAAGGGCTCATGTACACTGCAGGTGCTAAACTGACGTTCAGGAGCTGTTCAGCGTTTTTTTTTTCCAGCAGTGAACTCTCCCTAATGTTTTTCTGTGTGTCCAGGTACACACAGTTGTTTACAGTCGTTTTTTTTGAACACACCAAACTTGCATTCAGGAGTAGATTTTACCAGTGTTTGGAACACCAAACACTTGTAAATGCGGTTAACTGCGTTTATAAGCATTTGCGCTTAGAAACGATTTTCTTGTTTTAAGATGCATGAGACAGTAGGACAGTCCATAACATGTGCAGACACAAATACTGTAAATACAGAAAGATAAGGTGTCCTATGGAGGAGGAGGATTATTGCATAAAAGA